TCTTCAACCTTGCCCCTCCCTAACTTTCTCTTTCCTAAACGGATATCTGGGTCAATCAATTAATAGGGAGAAACACATAAATCCCATTAGGATTATGGGGTTTAGACCAGGGGTTCTGATTGGATGTTAGCATTTGAGAAGGTGTATAAAAACCTCAGGCACCAGAGGAGAGATTCAGAGTCCTCCAGCTGTGCAGTCAGTTCCGTGGTTCTCTACCAGGTCTGAGATCTGAGCCCCAGCCAACCCGGTCACAGCAGACGTTTCTGCAGGATTCCTTTCTGAGCACCTTGAAGATGAGCATCTGGACGCCACCCACACTCCTGGAGCTGACAGCAAAGAGCCTGCTGAGGGACCAGGCCTCGGCCATCGCAGCTCTGGAGTACCTGCCCGCCGAGCTCTTCCCGTACCTGTTCGTCATGGCCTACGATGGTGGACACCGCCCCCAGCTACTGAAGGCGGTGGCCCAAGCCTGGCCCTTCACTGTCCTCCCTCTGGGGGTCCTGAGGCATCTGCCCCCTGATCATGCCCCAACCAGAGCCGTGGGCTTAAAAGCCGTGTTTGACGCGCTTGACGTTCTGCTTGCCCAGGAAGTTCGACCCAGGACGTGCAAACTGCGGGTGCTGGATTTAAGGAACACGGGTGCCAACTTCTGGGATATGTGGCTTGGAGTCAGCACGGAGAATTGCTCACCGATGGGACCAGTGACTGTGCACAGCTCCAGCCCAGACATGGAGCATCCCCTGGCTCCCTTGGAGGTGTTCCTAGACCTTGACTTCAATGAAAGGGACCGGGATGAGTTTTTCATGCACATCATCCAATGGGCCCAGAAGAGGGAACGGTTGCTACACCTGTGCTGCAAGGCACTGAGGATTTCTGGGGTGCCCTTCCAGAGGGTCAGGAGGGTCCTGGATAGGGTGCAGCTGGACTGCATCCAGGAGGTGGAAGTGAACTGCACCTGGGACCTGCCCACCCTGGGGACGTTTGCTCTCTACCTGGGTCAGATGAGTAACCTGCAGAGACTCTATCTCCCCCACATCAATGTTTTGGCTGAGGAGGAAGAGGACGAAGAGCAGGAGGAGGAGCGGGAAAGGCAGGAGCAGGAAGAGCAGCGATCCTTTTCCCAATTCCTCTCTCAGATGCTCAGGCTGCGGCACCTCCGGGAGCTCCACATGCATTCTCCCTCCTTCCTCCGAGGTCGTCTGGACCAGATGCTCAGGTGCCTGCAAACTCCCTTGAACAAACTCTGCCTAACATATTGCCAGCGGCTGACGCATTCAGACCTGACACACCTGTTCCAGTGCCCAAGCCTCAGGCAGCTGAAGATCCTGCATCTATTTGGCCTCAGCCTTTCGGATTTCAGTCCCGAGCCCCTCCGAGTTCTGCTGGAGGCAGTGGCACCCACCCTCCAGGACCTGGGTCTGGATAACTGTGGGATAGCAGACTCCCAAGTCGAGGCCATCCTGCCTGTCCTGAGCCGCTGCCACCAGCTCAGGTTCTTCACCATCTCTGAGAACAGCTTCCCTGTGGCCACCGTGGAGAAGCTGCTGCGCCACACAACCGGGCTGCGCAGTTTAGAGGTCGAGCTGTACCCCGTCCCCCTGGAGTGTGACGGGACCCAAGGGACTGTCAACCAGGAGAGACTTGCCCTGATCCAGGCTGAGCTGACAGGGACCCTGAGGGAGTTAGGACAGCCCAGGACCATCCATCTTGCCGCCAAGCACCGTAGACATAGGAAGGTTTATAAGGTGGCATTTCCATGACATGGAGCCCGTGATGTGCCCCTGTAATGACCCTGCTCACTGGGTGCACCCAGCAAAGGCTTCTTTCTGGGCCTTTGGAAGCTGAAACCTCGGACCGGGGTGCATTATGCAGGGGGCACTCATGTTTCAGGTTCACGCTCAGTGTGAATGGGGAAAGGGAGGGACCCAGCCCGGGTACAGGATTGCAGGGGCAAAGGTTGGGGAGTTCATGGGACCTCAAAGGCAAAGTGTCCTACAATCAAAAACATGAATCTGATTTGCTTGGGGACGGGGAGAGGTATTAGGCCTCCAGCTGCATGTGTGGGAGTCAATCCTGGGGTGGATGGTTGTAAAGGAATGTTCAGAAACAAAGACAATTTCAAAGGCCAAAACAAAAAAAAATAAAAATTTTAAAAAATAAAAAAATAAATAAAAATCAATTTTTCCTTTTTGCTAGGCATTGTCTTTTTGCCAAACCAGTGTCTACTTGCTGATGGATGAAACCTAGGTCAGGCCAAGTACCCACTTTCAATGTGCACTTAGAGACTAATACTTTTGAATAACCACAAGGAAGTGTGGAAATAAGAGTTAATAGCTGACATTACGTATATTCAAATCTATTTTATTTTTATTGGACTGAATATCTTTGGTTCAGGTATTACCTTTTAGACCAACTATTTAATGCCTGATAAAGCAGGACACA